GATAGACGATAGATGGTAGATAGATGATATATAATAGATGATTGATAGATGATAGATAATGGATAGATGATAGATAAATGATAGATGATAGATAGATAGATGATAGATAGATAGATAGATAGATAGATAGATAGCTTTAAAGAATGAAGCCCCTTCCTGCAACATGATGTCTCACTAACAGCCTCCTCCTACTTCCTCTGTTGAAGGATGACTTCTTGCTGAGCTTGTGCCTTTCCTCCTGGAAATGAATAGTCTCAAAATCGTGGTTCCTACTATAAACTTAAACTTGATTAGTTCTTATCAGGTTTTTCTGCAGTTCATTTAAAATAGTTCCTACCTAACATTTTACATATAAATACATAAGCAAAGCTTACCTCTGAAGCCAGAAGTCCAAAGCTAATTACAATTAATGTTAAAGTATTAGCATCCTTCCATGTGCTGATTTTGTTTTCACAGCCCTAAAGAAAATAGATGCCTAGATCAATTTGGAAATGGAAATAGTTTTAAGGCTTTTCCAATGCAAGGAAAATTAAGCAGATGAATATTAACAGTTGCTAGCATGTAAATAGTAATTCATTATCTAACTGGAGACTTTGAAAAGTTTTTATATTATATGTATGTGTCTATATATCAGTATATGTGCATGTAAGGGAGCTCCTCAATGGAGGCCAAAGGCTTTGGATCACCTTAGAGGTGGCTATAAAGTGCCCAGTGTGGGTGCTGGGAATCAAACTCAGGTCCTCCATAAGGGAAATATATGGTCTATATGGTCTTAACCACTGAGTCATCTCTCCAGCTCTGGAGACTGGATTTTAACCATGGAGCTTCTTTGATAGCAAAATGCCTTACTTGCTAACTTTACAATTGCTAAGATACTGATATGCAAATGAAATCAGAAACTTAACTTTTGGAAATCTATTTATTTGGCTTTCTGCAGAGTAATGTAACTGACCAGGGTATATACTATCCTAGAGAGTAAATATTTTTTAAATGCCATGCTTAAAAATTGCAATGCTCAATTTATTTTTGAATTAAGTGTGTAATTGAAAAGACACATCTTAGAACAATTTGAGCAGATAAGCTATTGTTAGCTCTTGGGAATGGAAATCCCATCCCAGCACCCCATGCCATTAGCAGTTGTTGCTCAACCTGAGCCTTTACTTTTTCTTCAACCACATTTTTGTCATCCTGGCACCACTCCATTCGGTTGTGCCAAGTGTCGTGCCATTTTACGTTTTGTATTGCAGCTTCCTTTCCAATCCTGCACCAAGGCTTTGAAAAAGATTTATGGTGTCCCAAATTCCATGAATGTGTAAATCACATGCTCTCACAGAGTTTTATTATTGTATATCTCAAATAATACTATAATTCATCTAATTAAATATTCATTCTATGGAGTGATTTAAGAATATTTCCATCATGAGTAACATTTTTCAATATGATTTTGCTAAGTATCTTAAACAGACCTGCAAAAGAAACTAATAAACTCTGAAAACACTTGAAGAACACTGGAGTTAGGATTTTTACTCCTAGGTAAGTTGCATTTAGGGGCACATCACAGAACCATTTTCTTAATGTAGAATTTTTGCAGGAACAAGGCACCTGTTCTGAATTTTCTTTGTTCTTATTTTTTAGCCAGTCAGTATAATTATGCTGGCCACAACAGTGTAACTAGAAAGAAAGATTCTATTAATTTTATTATAAAGTATTCAAAATGGTAATTATGCAATTTCTGTGCATATTGAAATGTGTTTGTGATGGAGAAAATTGAATTTATTACACAATTGAAATGTAATACATTAAACAAGTATTTTGTTATGTCTCTTGCTGCAAATGCTCCTGTCAATCAGAGCTAAGGGTCTGTATTAATATATGAGGATTGCAATTGGATGAAATCATTATATATGCACTTTATCATAATGCAGTCCAGGACAGAAGATGAGCTTGATATGAATACATATCGATAGTATTTCAGACCAGAATAAAGTGTAGGAAATCACCTCAGTCATAGTTTTTTCCTAACTCTAGTAATTAACTCTGCATTTAGTTAGAATATGCTGTCACACTTGTTAGAGAAGCTAAAAAGAGATTTGGCATTTTTATATTTTTTAGGATTAATGTGAAATATAAACTTTCAATTTTGCATCATGTGAAAAATTGCCACTGGGAACCAAAAAGGATAATAAAAGCAGACACACAAATGATGAAATTTCCAAGAAATGATTCCTTTCTAGGTTGGTTCTGGTGTCCTGTCATGCTGAGCCTGCAATATGAGAAAGAATGATCTCAAGATGTCGGGGTGGTTGAGTGGGTTAAAGGAACAGGTTCAAGAGTAGGCTTAAATTTTCACCACCTAGGGACAGATCACTGTTTTCAAAACTTGTGATTGAAAGTTGTAACAATGATACTGCTATTTTACAGCATGTACCAAGGAAGATTACACAATTTAGGAAATTTGAATGACTAAAACAACATTTCCAAGGTGGGGTTCTGAATTGCCAGCTTATTTTACCAATCCTACACATACAGTTTCTTAATTATATCTGTGGCTACAAACTATAAGATGACATCTCATTTATGACAGTTATGCCTCACACAAAACTATTCTTTTGCTTATATTTTATGAACTCTGCCATAAATTGTAGTCTTTTATGGAAAATTAATACATCATGGATCATATACATCAAGGGAAAGTAAAGAAGTTAGTTTGTAATTACATTTTAATTATTTGAAAATGCATTTGTTATAATAATGTTTATGTACTATATATTACCTATTATATATGACCTTATATATATGACCTATATATATATGTATATGTATATTACCAATAAAGAGCACAAAATGTGGTGCCAAATTGTGTTAAGTTTTCATCTGGTAAATAAAACTAGGTAATCCTTTCCACCTCATTGATCTTAGGGGATTGAATTAGACAATATATGCAGAACACTTATAAAAGATATCACACTGGAAATACTTACTATTTTCTTTATTAAGAACTGATATTTTTCAAGACCCTGATGTGTTACTGCAAGTCATTTGAGTGACAAACACTAATCCTTTCACTATTTCACTGTACCTGCCCAGAAAATTCTGTTCTGTGAAATAGGAATCCTAACAACCCAAGGTGACAAGTATTGGTTGTTAATTATGACTAATCCAGCTAAGCCTTTGAATACATTCTATATGTCAGTGCACTTAATCCTGCCAGTTGAAGTAGGTATAGTGTCACTTGACTCTAAACTGAAGTTTGGAGGGATGCTTGTCCAGGGTCATATAGTTACCACAAGGAAGTCCTGACATTCTTTCTCAAATGAAGCCTTGCTACTCTGTTTAAACTTGTCCATAAACACACATAGCACTTAAGACTGCTAGCACTTTTCTAGATCAAACCAGGTTTAGAGCCCATTGACTGGTCTATAAGAGAACAAAGGAGATACAAAAGGATGGTTAAACACAAGATTGTGAGTGGAGACAGTGCCATTCCACTAGGAGTTCATCCGGGAGAAACTGAAAAATCTCTTATTTTTCTGACCTAACCTCTCCTCCAAGCTGTCTGTTCCTTCCCCCACTCCTGTTGTCTTTTTTAAACTCTTGTCCTTGGACACTGGCTATCAAATCCAGGGCCTTTTGCATGCTAGGCAAGTGCTATATCACAGAGGGTAAAATCCCTGCCCTTTGTAGGCAATTTCATCTTACTGTTTTCTGCAAGGCATTCACAATCATCCACTTGGGTATGTCTTCAGGCTCATCTTTAGATCCATACTCAGAAATGACTGACTCAATTTTACCCTGCCACAGCCGGTGAACCTGTTGAAAATTACATCAAAATGAAAACTTTTTGAAGTTTTTCTTGATGTCTCGTGAAAAAAAAAAGTGTTCATTGATAGAAGAGGTCTTTGTTTCTAAGTGTTCTTTTGCTTCCTAATAATTCTTATTAGCAATCAGAGTGTCAAAGTCATTAGTCCTTCATTTTACCATGAAGAAAATGTGTGGCTAGTTTTAACACCAAGGAAGAACTAATGGAGGAATGCTCGAATACCTATGAGTTCTGCATTCCTTTTTAGATGATTCTTCTCAGGAAAAATTTTAAAGACTTTAAAACAGACACTAAAAGTTTACCAAGTGTCCTTTCTATGGGAACTAGGCTGTTTTTTTTTTAAAAGCAAACTTTATAATTCTTTGGTTGACTCAGTGAATGTCTTTTTATAATTCGTAAATTAATTTGTTCAACTTTACAAGTTGTAGAAATCTATAATTATGCAAGATATTCTTTGTCAAAAAACCAAAAATGATTTTTGTGAGAGTGCAACTAATTTTTTTTCTTTTAGGTCTGTTTTAATCAGGTCTGATTGTTAATATCCCGTGTAAGCATCTTCTTTCTGGGTTCTCTGAATCAGCTTTTCTATCTTGCCATCTCCCTCCTTAAATAAAAATTTTAGCATATGTCTGTTGCAAAAGAATCATTTTTATTATTAAGAACTATTCACTTCAATACTCTTAGGTCTCAGAACACAATATCCCAGCACACTGCCTTTTAAACAGAAGGATATTAGGAATAGAGTTGAAACGGACATGTCACTTTCTGAACTTCTCTTGCCTTTCTTTCCTAAAGGAGGACATAAAGGACTTCAGTGACCTGTCTGTCTTGATAGTAGGTCACCAAACTGTCACTCCACGATTATTGCCATTAGACCAGACACCTTCATTATCCATTCACACTTCTGAATATAGTCCAAAAAAGTTTAGTTTTCCATGGAACTGTGGATATATGTATAAAAGGTTTTTATAATAATTTGTGACATAAACACTGACTAAGTAAATTGGCTATGCTTTCCTCTAGATAATTCATCCTTTATTTTAGGGGTCATAGCCATGAATTTTGCAATGGGTGAGGAAAAGATGCTTCCCTTTAACTATGACAATACTTAACAAAACACATCAAATCTCTATTGTGTGGGTGGGAGGTGGGAAAGAGCTGTTATTTCAAAACTGAGAAAATATCAACTTATTTAAGGATCTGAAATTCATGATTTTCATAACTATCTCCTAATTTGGTCCTAGATGCTACCAAAATATAGTAGGAATAAGTACTGATCTTATTTTACAAGTGAAAAGACAAATTCAGAGAATGAATCATTTGCAATTGTTCACTAGATCTAGATGCTTACAGAAACTTAGTCCTGTATCAGTGTAGAAGACAAATTGATAGAGAGTATGCTGTTAAACTAATAAGTGCTTCCAAGTGGCTTTGTCACTTGACCATAAGCTATTTTAAATTAGACTTCAAATACAGTTCATTTTAATACAAATATAATAATTTCTTATTGTTCACTGTCTTTGAATAATGAAAAGTAAATAACTAGTGGGAATATTATAATAATTATCAAAAGAATACAAATTAAACTTAGCTGCTTAGTTACCTCTGTTAATAAATTTAAAATCAGAACATTGTAAAAGGTATTTAGACATATATTGTTCTCAAAATTAATTTTAGATAGAATAAATTTATCCATTTTTTTATTGCTATAGTGAGGAAAGGCAAGTTTCAGGTTAATTTTACACCTAATGTGTTTTTGGAGAAATAAAAATGCATACAAATAAAAAAGTTCATTGAAACTTCAGAAATAATTTTGATATATAGCATTATTTATGTGAAATTCACTTTCACATACTCAGATTGATCAGCATATATTAAAGTCCCAACATGTCTTTAACCTTCAGTTGTATGCAATAGATGGCACAAAGGATCTAGATTCTGACAGAAGCTTAATCCTGTATCAATGCAGAGAAACTGATACAGATTATGTTGTTAGCTCATAAGTACTTTCAAGAGGCTTTGTCATAAAATACATTAGCAATTACTTATTATCTCAAAGCCTCAGTTTCCTCCACTATACACAAGAGCACTCATTACATTCCTAGGATTGTAGAATTTGTGATGTCCATAGCGTGCTTATCAAAGTCATTCGTACACAAGTTTTTAACTTGTGATTTTTATTTTAATACACATAGAGAGCAATGTAAGAATTATATTGAAATAAGAATGTGGCTCTCAAAAGCTAAATATATGGGTTGAGAGTCCTTATGTGTCAAATTAGGATCTCATTGGATTTGGAAGTTTAAGGCTAATGAACTGGGTAAGATGGTGCTTTGCCAGCAACAAGCTTTTGGAAAGGGTGCTGCTATGGTTGACATACTCCTCAAACCCCACATATTCACAGAAACACACACACAGACACATACTCACTAACACGTGTACACATATTTCACTTGTAATGTGGAAGAAAGACATTTTAACTCTAAGTGCGCCATTACCATCGGTCCCTGGGTAATATGTACTACAGAGATGCTAGCTGAGTTGGAGGGCAGTGGCATACAATTACAGAAGATAGAGTCAAGGTATCATAGGAATTAATCAGTAGTTCCTTCAAAATTAATTTTTAAAAAGGAAGATAACTCTAAAGTACTTGCTTTAGATAAAAGTTTGATAAATGATCAGTTAATAATTATAATATAGGTATATATTAATCACATCTTATATTTTATAGATGAGGACATAAGCCTGGGCTGTTCAGCAGGTTATTGATGTTGAATCACATTCAGATTTACATGGCCTCAAGTTTCAAGAATTTTTCACTGACAAATAGCCTCCCATGCTTCAAGGACACACTGTAACTGAAAGAAACTGTAGGCTGTAATAGGTAAATTTTATTAACAAAAAGCTTTCTTTGTTCATGTTATTTATTATGTGAATGTTTTAGCTTAATTTGATGAATATAAATCTCATTTAAATTAATATAATTTAATCATTTAGGACCCATTTGTGGAAATGTGTATATTTCTTTCCATCTTATTTAAGTAAAATTTCTTAATTTAAAATTTGTTTCAGTGTATTTTTCCTCAATGATTATAATGTTGTATGTCGAACGCCCCCCAAGCCCACCAGGCTTGGGTCTTCAACAAAAAGGACACTCAGGCATAAGTCTGAAGTTATATGAGGAATTTATTAAAGGGACAGCAGGTACATAGAGGAGAGCGCTGTTTAGAAGGAAGAATCTCTTGAGGGGTCCCACAGGTCCTTTTGATCTGGCCCGGAGTTTGGGTTACCCAGGTGAATCTTCCCAACAGAAACAAAATGGTTACTATAGAGATAGCACGAAGGCCGAACTGAAACTAACTTTCTAGAAGACCTGAATTATCATCCAGGTACAGCCTGTCAGCTCTGACCCCTGAAGCAGAGAGCTCAGAAGCTCTTAAAGTGACACTCTCCTAATTTCCAATGCTTATGGCAAGCATGGCTCCCGACAGCTGTACATATAATATTTCATAATATTTAGGTCAGTAACAGTAGCCAAGGTAGCTTCAAAGATGGTGAAGAGAAAGCAAAAATGTCTGAGATCATAAAATTTAGTACACTTCCTTTATTACTTTTGTTGACAATTGCTTTAAGGTTAAGCTGAAGATAAATTCCTGTAGCCTACTCTTTCAATTTGCCATGTGCCTTCTCTTAGAATTTGAGTCCCTCAACTGAATATTTTTTTCCATCAAAGAGATTTACTTTCTTTTGGATTTTAACACAGGTTGAAGGGTCTCACTAACCTATCAATATTTTTATATTTCAAGTGAAAGAATATTTTAATGATCCATTTTATATACCTCTTCTTTTTTGTGAGGATGAGCACTGAAAGTACAAACTGAACACTGAAGCAGCATCAGCCCTGCATACTGAAAAAAAAAGATAGGGCAATCATGTTTCTGTTCAACATCTTAGATTCTACAATGAGAATACATACAGCATGAAATACACAGCCTTAAGAGATACAGTATCCAGAAGATGTCCTTTCTTCATAATTAGTGAATGTGAAATTTTATTTGATTGCTTTTCATTTTATGAGTATTAGTGCTTGCTTGCATGTAAGTAACTATACCAAGAGTGTACAATGCACTCAGAAGACAGAAGAGGACACTGAATCCCCTGGACTGGAGTTACAGATGGTTCTTAACCACCATATGGGTGCTGTGAACCAAATCCATGTCCTCTGCAAGAGCAGCCAGTGCTCTTAATCACCATCTCTCTAAAGTCAGAGCCATCTCTCTAGCCACATTATTAGTGAACTTTTTGAAATAAAGAAGCAAAAAATAAAAATGAGTGTGGAAGTGATTATAGCTTATGAGAACATTAATTGAGGGTTTTTTCCATATAAAGATTGCTGAAGACAGGACATATTTTGGATACAGAACTTGGAACAATGGAGCAGTGGAGCTGGAAGCCTCCCTCTTGAAGACTAGCTCTCATAGTGTTAGAGGATAGTATGCAAGCTGCTAAATGAGAAAAATCAATCAGTGGTCCAATCCTAGCTGTAAAGCCTAATAAATACAACAATAACCAGCACAGCGAATGATCTTTATTGATACAATAGTGGCATTATTATCTTGGTAGTAATCAATATCTATCTACTTGGACTTAAAGCACACTCAGTGGGAAGGAATTCATGTGTGGTACTCTACACATAGCCAAATACACATGGCTGGAGAGGTCAAAGATCCTAGAGAAAAATCTACGTCTGTGTTTGTCACATCCCCAGACAAATGCAATTTGTTACTGTATACTAAGTATGTATCTTTTTATTTACAGACAAGTATATCTCTCACCAATCATCAAAGACACTTATTGCAACAGATGGAGACTGTTACAGAGTTCCACAACTGGACAAACACAGAGAATAAATGTCTGTGAGATGCCCAGCTTTATGTGTCACATCTACAATGGAGCTCTACACCTAAGGCTCAGGTAACATGAACAGGGGTTAAAGAGAATATTAATGCATTGCTCACCTCTCACCTAACTGAGATTTTGGTGACATATCATAATTCAGACCTAACACTATTATAGAGCGAAATTCAGTTATCTTGTTCACTTAGCACATTGTGAACTGGTCTAAAAACAATTCTATCCTACATGAAGTAAAAATCATAACAGAAGCACCAAAAATAGTAAGTTAATTCTATATGTCTATGGAGACTGTTTCATTAGGAAAGTATGCAGCCAGAGAAATGGATTTTTTATGCTCTTCCAGAGGACCCCAATTTTGTTCCCAACACCCACATCAAGTGGCTCACAACTACCTGTAACTCCAGCTGTAGGGGGATCCAACATCTCTGGTCTCTGATGGTACCTGCAGTCACATGCAAAGAAATAAATGTACTTCCATTGGAACAAAATAAAATTATTTTCACATTTCTTAAATTGTTTTTTGTCAGAAAATTTTTAACTACTTCGCTTTCTTCATCACAGTTGCATTACATTATACAGTTTTTCTAGACTTAATAATTTAATTTTTTTGTCTTTTTTGAAGCAGGGTCTCCCTATAGCCCCTGCTGTCCTGGAACTCACTATGTAGACCAGGGTGGCCTTGAACTCACAGAGATCATACGTTTATCTAGAATTAATAATTTAAAATTTTTTTGTCTTTCTTGAAGCAAGGTCTCCCTGTAGCTGTCCTGGAACTCACTATGTAGACCAGGCTGGCCTTGAACTCATAGAGATCCGCCTGCCTCTGCCTCCCAAGTGCTGGGACTATAGGCATGCGCCAAAAAAGTCAATGATCTGCATATTTTCGGGTAATATAAAATAATGATTTAATTTTGATATTGAATTCACATTTTCAAATGTTAAAACACTCCAAGATGACCAATTAAAATTTTCTATTTAA